ATGGCAACACTATTATCATCTTTCAAAAAGATTTTGTGTTTCAGGATGAGAACTGTCTTCAGAGCCAGGGTACAAGCTAGACAAGAATATCAAACTCATTGTTCTATATGCTTCATCTTAAAATGACAATTGTTTAATTCAAGTTGATTACCACTTTACTGACCACGTGACTCCTACATATTTCCCATGATTAGATTTGGATTACATGGCACTAATTTAGCATCCGAATTGCTGTCATTCTAAGAGCATTCAAAATTAATATATATTTATTTTCTAAAGGAAGGAGTTAATATTTATTCATTAATTATTTAGACCTTCTCATCTGTGTAGATATGAACATAATTTCACAAGCATATCTATTCATATCATGATTCATATGCACATTTACTAGGATGACTGAAAGTAACAGTCTCAGTAAGAACTGGTAGTGAATAGTAAAATCAGTTAAAATGAGTGAAATACCTTAACAATTTTATTTTTTTAAATATGGTGAAATTTTTCATTCAAAAATTGAGAAAATTTAAGTTGGTTTTACAAATATATTGTCTTTAAATTAATGACAATTGGAGAATTGGAGGGAGTATGAAAAGCATCAAAAAATAATGTAAAAAATAATGCTTAAATCAATAAATTTGAGAACCGAACATAATGGTTAAGATAACAAAAATAAACACCTACACTTTCCTATTAAAAGAAAAAACTCGATTGGTTTAAAGCAATAACCCCATTATAACAGTGTAAGAAGAAAAGCATAAAATTAAATAATATTAAATACTACTAAAACGATAAATATAAAGATGGGCAAAGAGAGAGCAAGAAAAGAAAATGAAGGAAAGTAATTAGAGATGGCAATATTAATGTCAATGAAAGATTGATGAGGCTTAATATCAATATTGATATCCATGAGAATTCAATGAATGTGTTAAATTAGAGACAGACAGCCAGTATACAGGAAACAAATGGAATCTATAATTAAATTATAAAAGGCATGGATCTAAAATTCAAATAATATGAAACATTGAGCAAAAATATTCAGCCATGTATAGAAATGTGAACAGACACATGATGGTAGTTGAAATTTAGCACGATGTTATCAGTCTATAACAATAGTATAGAAAAATAACCAGAAGAATTGGAATATATGATTTAAAAGAGAAAATTAGTGGCTAAGGCTATAGGGCACTCTAACCTAGAATAAGAAATACAACCTTTCAAATATTTATTAATCATCACAAAAATCATCATATATTAGACTACAAAGAAAATATCAATAATTCCTCCAGTGCAAAAATACTATAAGTTGTATGCTCAGATCACAATGCCTGAAATTAATTTTAAAGTAATCTTTAAACCAATCCCTTAGATATTTAAAATCATACTGAAAAATTACAGTCAAGTCAGAGAGGAAAAAATAAAATGAGAAATTTAGTAACTAATGGAAATTAAAGCATATTCTTAAAATTTGCAGAAGCAGTCAAAGTTACACACTGAGGTAAACTCATAGCTTTATTGAACATATGAATTGAACATAGACTGGCCTCATTCGTTAAAGTCAATAAAAGAATACTAAATAGCATGAATTTAAATAATAAAAGCTGACATTTGTTGAACGTTCACTCTGCAACAGGGAACTGTGCTAACCACTTTATAGGAAGTACTTTTATCTCTCAACAATCCTACCAAGCTCTTGAACAATACCTTATTCTCTACCGCAAGTCTTTAGATAATAATGATCACTTTTTTTTTTTTTTTTTGCTGAGGAAGTTTTGCCCTGATCTAACATCAGTTGCCAATCTTCCTCTTTTTTTGCTTGAGGAAGATTAGCCCTAAGCTATCATCTGTGCCAATCTTCCTTTATTTTGGATGTGGGTTGGCACCTGCATGGCTGATGAGTGGTGCAGATCCAGGATCGAAACCCACAAGCCGGGATGACTGAAGCAGAGTATGCCAAACTTAACCACTATGCCATGGGACTGGCCCTTAACTATCACTTATTGAGCACCTACTATGTGCAAGAGCAACAGAATACAGGCTATTAAGTAGCAGAACTATGATTTAAACCCAATCAGTATTTTCCCATTTCCATATGCTTTTCACTGTGATGAATTCAAAATCACCTTAATAAACTTATTCACCATGATAGGGAAGAGTACTTAGAATTATAGAGATGATTTGATACTAGACAATATATTTATATAATGCATCACTATAAAACCAGAGCTTGATAAGTGGTAATTTCTTAAGAATTTATTGCAAGGAGGAATCTGAAACCAAAACAATGAACTTTTAAAATTCTGGTTCATAAAAACCTATCACTCTGACTTAGTCTTTGAGTAGGTCTCTTTTACCTATGCAGGATTTTGTATTATATGCAATATAATTTAGGTCATTAGGAAACTGTTGGTTCCCTGGGATATTCAGGTCTTACAAATGTAGCTATATTTGAATTTGTATAATCAAGTAGTTCATTTGTTAAAATCACCATTGTGGTCATCACAAAAGTTTTAAGTATTGGGAAGTTGTCAAGTTCATAGTTGTAGATTTTCCAAAATTCTGATTTTGTATTGAAAGCTCAACTGGCATCATTGGCTACAAATGTTTTTCTTGAAGCGACAGGTTCATTTTATAAATATCTTGAGAAAACGTCTGTTAAATGCCCAACTCTGACTAATCGTAGTTTGTCTGTCTGTCGTTCTTTTGAGTAAAAACGGACTCTGTGAAAAGTGTCTAGTTTAGCTCAACTCAAATGATCACATAAGTGCTTTTCCTCAAAACAATCACCATATAAGCAGTAGAAGTGCTTGTCCACAGAATTTTAGAAAGACTAGAACAGAGAAAATTAAAAAGACATGTGCTCAAAAGTCAAGATTTAGTAAAATTAATAATCTTATTATTTCAGACGCTGACCCAGTGGCATAGTGGTTAAATTCACATGCTCCACTTCCATGGCCCAGGTTTCAGCGGTTCCAGGGCATGGACCTACCCGCGGCTCATTAGGCCATGCTGTGGCAGCATCTGACATGGAACTAGAAGCACTTACAACTAGGATATACAACAATGTACTGGGGCCTGAGGAGAAAAAAAAGAGGAAGATTGGCAACAGATGTTAGCTCAGGGCCCATCTTCCTCCTCAAAAGCATACCTTAGAGAAAACAAAAATAATAATAAAGTTATTATTTCATCAGGCCATTCTCAAGTGAAAGTGGCATTTTTTTTTCATTCAAGTATAATACAGGGAAAAATAAAATGATTACTAGTCCATTTTGGTGCCGCTGCTTTGATTGACACATAGCCACCAACAGTTTTATCCCCAATTGTATTTGTACCATCAGTGTAAATGGTTAACGTGGTGTAAAAGGCAAATAAAGTCTTATTATTATTAGAAAAATAATTTGGCCTTGTGTATCTCCTTAAAGTGTCTTGGGGACCCATAGGGACCCACAGACCGCACTTTGAGAACTGCTTCTCTAAAGGATTTCCCCGCACCTGCTCTGGTCAAGCTCCAGCTTTAAATCCTAGAGTCACTTTCCTTGGCTCTTAAGATAAAGTGGAACATCTTTAACATAGTCAATCATTGGGCCTCTTTCCATTTCTCCAGCCTCATTACATGTCGGTACACTCCACCCACCCTGGTGTTTTTCACTTCTTTAAATTTGCCTTTCCTGCTACAGGGACACTCTCTATGCAGTCTTTTGTTACTCTGGGAAATTTTGCCCTCCGCACAATACTTAACAAACTCCTACTCATCCTTTAAGCCTCACACTTAATATTACTTCCCTGGGGAAAACTGAAGGGTAGTTTAAATGAGCCACCCAGGATACTGACTGCCATGGCGTCTTTTCTTCTTCTATTTGGCCCTGATACCAAATGTAAATACCTAATTACATTATAACTACTTCTTTAATGGCTGTGTCCTTTGCTCCAGGGGAGCTCCATAAGGGCAGGACGACACATCTCACACTCAAGACTCTATCCTCATGGCCAATGAAGGGGTGAATGAACTGCGCCATGCACCTTCACCGTTAGTTTGCAGAATTACAACTTTGGGGAAGTTTTTTCACTTTAAAAAAAAGAACAGGAATGTCATAAAATAAATTTAATAAGTAAAAAGTAACATTTTTGCTAAAGAAGAAAATGTGAACATGTTATTCTATAAAAATAGAACGAACAAATGCAAATCCATAAAAATGAATAGATGAATTTATATAAATATATAAATACTGATTTTATAACATGAGGTTCAGCCACAGGGTACCAGTTACATTTCCTCTAATTCTGAAAACAGTTGAACATAGATATGCTTAATATTACTCATAAAATGTGCCAAATATGCTTCAAATTATTTTATAGGTGAAGCACAAAATAGTTTTTGAAATGAATGAACAATTGAGAGTCAGAGCCAGAACATCCGTCACTGGGAATCAGCTTCCTTCTTAACGTCCTGAGTTATCCTATGAGCCTGTTGACGAAGAGAAAGCACCTCCATTCTTTGATTAGGTTTGGAAAATCAGGCCTTGGATTTAGGTTTTAAGGATAAATGGACTCAAGAAGTTTTCTTCGATGAGAATTTAATAAATAGAAGAAATGCAGGGGCTGGCCCCGTGTCCCAATGGTTAAGTTCACGTGCTCCCCTATGGAGACCCAGGGCTCTCCAATTCAGACCCTGGGCTGGGACCTACCCACCACGCATGAAGCCATGCCATGGTGGCATCCCACATAGAAGAACTAGGAGGACTTGAAACCAGGATATACAACTATATACTGGGGCTTTAGGGAGAAATGGGAAACGAAACGGAGAAGCTGGCAACAGATGTTACCTAAGCACCAATCTTCCTCAAAAAAGAAATAATCAGAAAGATAAAAATAAAAAAATAAAATGCAGTTTAAAAAGAACAATAACAAAATGTAAATTTATAAAATGGAAAAGTCAACATGTTTTCTAAATTTTAGTAGAATAGAAAGGCAATAATCTTATATATGAAACCATAAATATAAATATGATAAGAGAAAAGAATAAATAAATAAATATAAATAAATAAACAAACAAACAATAAATAGAAACATGAGGGCAGCCCTCTCTTAAGCACTGATGCTCTAGGACCTGAATATTTCTTACATATTCTTGCTTAAAACTACTGACAAAATATTTGCTGAATTGAATTCAATAAAGTATATGACCAAAGCAGAAATAAGAGCCTTTTGAAATGACTAAAGACAGGTGCAAGGGTGCCATGGCCCAGTAGTGTAGGAGAATCATTTCAAGGTGACCCCAGGTCTCCATCCTTCATTCCTAATCTTCCTTGCAGGTTTGCTGATGAAGAGAAGGATCTCATGATGTCCACTCTGACAATCTCCCAGGCACAGTCACTGTATTTCTTCTCTGTCAGGTACAGACGGATTCTCCTGAAGTACCTCTTCACGGCCAGTGTAGGGCCCACAGTTCCCAGGGCGGATTCTTCCTCTCCTGTCTGCTCATCCAAGCAGGTGTTGAGGTCTTCCAGCTGCTGATGGAGTCCCGTGAGGAGTCGGTCCAGCAGAGTCGTGTTCCAGGCAGCAGAGGAGCGCTCTGTGTGGAAGAGGTTGACGATCTGCTGGAGCATCTCGTGGAGGACAGACGTGGCCTGGGCCTCTGGGAACTGCCTGCCATCCAGCTGCTCCTGGGGGAATTTGAAGTCTGTCCTGTGCTTCAGACAGGAAGGAGGAGAGATTGTCTCCATTTGGTCCAGAACTCTGAGGGTCTCCTGCTTTCTCAAGTCAAGGCTCGCAGGCAGGTCGCAGCTCATGGAGGAGACGGGGCTGGAGGAGATCACCACCAGTGCCATCAGGGAAGACACTGAGAAAGCCATTGGTAAGTGCCAAGACGCAGCTCTTCTGGTTGAGACGGGAGATTGAGAGCTTTTGTCTAGCTTCTCTGAGGATCTTCTGTCTAGGTGCCTCTTAAATACTCAGCACAAGAGTTTTCATTCTCTGAATTTTCCCCAGGTCTTTGTACTTCCCCATTTTGGACTTTCCTTTCTCTTCGAGAACCTGGAAAGTTGTCATTACTTTCGACTCTTTCTGTATTCTTACAACTGAAGTGAAATTTATTCATTAAAAGCTTAGAAGTCCCAATTCAAGGAAATGCTTATCATCTCAGCAAAAACCAACTTTGAACTATTGATAGGGACATCTGGATATTTCTCTCTGATGTTAAAAACGACTTTTAAGAAGGCTTTGTTAGGCTTCTTTTCTAAATCTTCTTGCTCCTCCCTTCCCTCTTGGAAGTGTTGATCAGATGTAAAAGACACCTGATCTTTACAGGCATAGATCTTACCTTATTCTCGGCGACAAAATATTTAGTTTGTCAAATTTAGTTTTATTTGCTCTGCTCAATGGAGAAAATTACTGAATATTTAGTACTTGCCCATCATTACGTTGAGCTTGGGCTATACCAAGATGGTTAACCTCCACTCCTGCCCTCACGAAGTGTAAAGTGCAACCACCACCACCGTCCAGGTGTTTGAGCAGCTGGAATGTGTCTTTGCTGCTTCGGGCCGCTGCTTTGTCCCAACCAAGGCCATTGTCCTAGCTCTGTCAAAATCATGGTCAAGCAATCCATTTTTTCTTTGCTATTTTTGCCTAATTCTAAAATTCTTACCTCTTCTTTTGTATTTGTTGTTTTACTTTATAAAAGTTGTCCTAATGCTCCTGAAATATTTTCTATTTCCACCTTGAGGTTTGTTGCAAAAACAGGAAGAGAAAATGTAAGGGAAAAGAAGAGGTCACATATTTCCTGTATGATTTTCAAGACTCAGAACTTTCCTCTCTCTTTTAACATTCCTAGAAAGTAAAAGTAAGCAGTTATGAAAAAGGAATGCACAAAGGAAATTGGAAAGTAAATGATGCTGAAAATGAAAAAGAAAAGAAGTGACATCTTCTTTATCGAAACAACAAAATGTCACTGAACTACCCAAGTCACGGAGCAAGAGCTCTAGACAGAGGGACAGGTTTCAAACCAGCCTGTGTGTGATTGTTGTAGCCGCAGGCAGGTGCAGAGGAGGGCAGCCGGCTCTTGAAGGCAGGCTGCTACCTGAAGGGCTAGTTTTCAGCTTTGCTAAGTCAGAGAATCTGTTCTGTGATTTCTTTGTCAGTGAGAGGTCAGCTATTCCCTGAAGGCTAGTAAACGTTGGTCATCTGGACAGGACACTCCCTGTCATGGGGACACATGCTCATGTTCACATAAGCGATGAGATTAGAAATAAAAGTGTTTATTAGTGAGCTGAGAATTCAAGGAAGGGAAGCAGATCGTCTCAGGGCAGCTTCCATCCAGTTCCCAAACTTCGACAGGTTACGTTTCTCCATTGTGGGAACAGCTGACAGATAGTGCGTACCCATTTTGTCAGGCATCGTTATGGTACGCTACATCATCCAATCTTCACAACAGTCCAAAGAAATAGATATGGGGGCCGGCCAGTGGCCGAGTGGTTCAGTTAGCGCACTTCCCTTGGCAGCCCAGGGTTCACCGGTGGGGATCCTGGGCACAGACCCACACGCCACTCATCAAGCCTTGCTGTGGCGGCATCACACATAGAAGAACTAGACGGACTTGCAACTCGGCTCTACAACTACGTCCTGGGGCTTCGGGGAGAAAAAGAAACAAAGAAAGAGGAAGATTGGCAACAGATGTTAACTCAGGGCCAATCTTTCTGACCAAAGAAAATATATATCGCACAGTACAGAGTTGGGCTCTAGAAAATGGGTAGCGCATACTTCAGAAAAAAAGTAGATATGATTATCATTTCTGTATAACAGAAGAGAAAACTGAGGTTCCCAAGGTCACACAGCCAGTGCTGGCTGCAGCTGTGACAGGAACCCAGGCCTAGCCCCACAGTCTACTGCCCTCGCCACTAGATTGGGCTGTCTCCTTCAACAACATGCTTTTTGTCTTAGATAAACACTCAGGAAGTTCTTACTCTCTAATTCCCGTTGTTCTTAGTCACTAAAAATCACCAATCGCTCATTCTAGACACATTACAACACACAGGAAGAGGCTACAGCTCCCTCTTCACTTGCTAAGCTCCAGTCCTGCCTTTCACACGATGTGTTTGTTGAGCTCTACTGTTTCTCTGAAACTTCCTATTCCCATCTGAGATATTGTCAGAAATTATCCAGGAGGTGAAATCATCCACTCAAAATTTGTTCTTACTATCCTTGTTTTTAGGAAACTCCCATGTTCTGACCCAGTCCCCAGATTTTACGTCTACTCCCTCACTGGAACATGTACTCGTTTTGTACGTGCTATGGGACAGAGAGCCCTCTGTGTACCTCCTCTGTAACAGGCACCTTCTAGGACACTTGGGATATGGCACTACTGTCCTCAGGGAGCTTACAGTCTGTCTGGGTAGTTAGATGTTAAACAAGTAATTAGATGGTTGACTTAACTACGAGCATACGGAGTGAATCACACGCAGGCAAACTTCAAACTTTTCAGGAAACCAACACCCAGCAATGTGCCCAGGAGACCAGAAGTGCACCGTAATTCATTTTTCACAAATCTTATCTGCGAGACAATATCTTCTGTGAGCTTAAGACCAAGTCAGATGATATCTTTAAGGTATACATACAATTAAAATTTTTTAAAGAAGGAGGAAAAGTATAATTAAGGAAAAAATAAGAAAAATCGATATCTCTTTTATGAGCTACTTTACGTTTTCTGCTCACCTGCAAAAGCCACCATTTATTGTATGACTGTTTCCTCCTTCTCTGACTTTTCTAGGTTTTTCTCCTCACGAAAAATCTAAGAGGTGTGAAAACTGTGTTACAATACTGTGTAGATAATGCATTGGTGCACATGGTTTGGAGTTTCCTATCTAGGCGTTCATATCAATAAGTGCACATTTTTAATTGACTTCACAAAAAAAAGTAGAAAGAGAAAGGAAAGGACAACAAAGTGGAAAAACCCAGAAAATGAAAGTGTCTATACTATGTAAAAGGCACTGAGCACCCAAAGTCCTCAGAGCTCGCTGAGACTCCCCCTCAGGCAGCCCTGCAGAGCCCTCCAGCTGCCCAATGGCCCTCCCAGTCTCTGTGCTGCTGGCCCTGGTGATGCTGGGCTCCTGCCCTGCCTGCCCTCTGGGCTGTGACCCGCCTCTGAGACAGGGCAATCAGGAAACCATTACACTTCTGAGTCAAATGGGGAGAATCTCCACCCTGTTGTGTCTGAAGGACAGGGCTGACTTCCGATTTCCTCAGATACTTGTGGATGGGGACCAGCTTGGGAAGACACAAGCCGCAGCTGTGCTGCATGAGATGCTCCAGCACACCTTCCATCTCTTCAGCACCACTGGCTCCCGTGCCGCTTGGGATGAGACCCTCCTGGACAAATTCCTCCTTGGCCTTTATCAGCAGCTGGATGACCTGGAGACATGTTTGGGGAAGGAGACGAAGGTGGAACAATCAGCCCTGGGAAGTGAGATCTCCACACTGGCTGTGAAGAGGTACTTCCGAAGAATCAGTCTGTATCTGAAAGAGAAAGACTACAGCGGCTGCGCCTGGGAGGTCGTCAGGGTGGAAATCAGAAGGTGCTTGCTCTTCATGAACAAGCTCACCGGAAAACTCAGCCAATAAAGAAGACATGGAGTCTCGAAACAGCTCATCTGGGCAACTAAATGGCTATTTCCTGAGATTCAAAGTGCAATCTTCAGCTCTATTTTTATTCCTGATGAAAAATAAGTCATAGCAAATGTATGGGATTATTATAAAATTATATTGTGTTGTAATTTACAATAAGTTGTTTAGAAGAGAGAAATGCACAATCCATTTGCTTTAGCCGAAAACCCTTTTCAATTTTTATTATTTATTTAAAGTATTTGAAATATTTATGTTATTCATAGTATTTAAATATTCATTGTTCATAGAACACTTTTTTACTATTCTGTTTGGCCAAGACTACTCTTTATTTTTAAGTTGTGGGAAATAAAAGCAATTTTTAAAAACCAATTTTGCTTGTACACACTTTTTGAATAAAAACTTAACCCTAAGCCTGATCCCACAAAGTAAACTTAAGGAAAGTTCCTGAGTGAAGAGGGAATAGGGGCCGCCATTGCACCACGGACATTTTGAGAAGGGGTGGATGCGATTCCCTGGACAGGGCTCAGAGATGGAAGGAAGATCTGAGGAGAAAGCCCAGGGCTTCAACACCATTACCTGCTTGGGGCCTCCAACACCTGGAGATGCTTCATGGTTTAGACAAGAATCATATAAGCTGACGGAAGGCAATCTATACATGTGGACACTGGAGAATCTTGGAGAAGGCTGAGCACGGGAGGGTGAGTACATTTTCTACACTTGACCAGTCCAGATGTCTCATTTCTTCTTCTTGCGTTCTAAATATTTCAAGCACAAAATTGAAGAGAGTATCCCTATCAACTAAATTAACTTCCTTATAATTTACCTTGAAATGCCTTTGGCTTTCCAAGATGGTTTCAAGTTCATTTATTTGACTCTCAAAACTCCTCTCTGACAATTGGTTATGATGCTTTTTATCATCACTGTTCTTATTCACCTGACAAATATTGTTTGAGCTCCTACACAGAACTATGTATTGGGAGTGATGTTAGGTGCTAGAGTGCAAAGTTGAATGAGGTCTTACTCTGTACTCAAGTTGTTTATAGTCTTCTAGACAGCTGTCCTAAGGAGAAGAAAAGTGAGTTTATCAAGAGGTATATCACTGAAAAATAAAGAGAACTGACGCATTACCAACTCTCAGACTCAGAATCATTAGTATTCAATCTGAAAATGGATTCTTACTAGGATACGCCATCATTTTGCATTTAAATCCTCGTTAGATGGGAGGAGATACCAGGAAGCAAATGACCATTCACCAGACTGCAAGGAGATATCAAAGAATCCCAGGATAGGGGTCAGTAACTTCTAATACAGTTAACTCACAGTGACTACCCTAAAAAACTGAAGGACACAACACGTCCAAACTGGCAAGGGAGAAATCGAACTCTCTGTTCACAGATGACATGATCTTATCATAGAAAATACTAAAGGACCCCACACTTATGACCTTATTTAACTTTAATTACTTCCTTAAAGGCTCTATCTCCACATGCAGCCACATTACGGGTTATGGCTTCAGCATGTAAATATTGGGCTGACGCAATTCAGTCTATAACAAAGACCCAAATAAATGAAAGAACATCCCCATATTTATGGATTGGAACATTTAAGCTTGTTTACAAGGCAATACCGCCCCGAGTAATCTACAGATTCAAAGCAATCCCTAACCTAATCGCACTGGTCAGTTTTGCAGAAATGGAAAAGCCAATTCTAAAATTCATATGGAATTGCAAGGGACTCCAATAGCCAAAAAGATCTTGAAACATAAGAGCAAAGTTGGAAGGCTCACATTCCTGATTTCAAAACACACTACACACTACAGTTATCAAAACAGTGTGATACTGGCACAAAGGTAGACAAATAGACCCACTGAATAGAATTGAGAATCCAGAAGGACACCTATACATCTATGGTCATTGATTTTTGACAAGTGTGCCAAGACTGTTCAAAGGAGAAAGAATGGTCTCTGCAACAAATGGTGCTGAGACAACCGGATACTCACATTGTGAAAGAATAAAGTTGGATCCCAACCTCACACCATATAGAAACAAAATCCAAAATGGGTCAAAGGTCTAAATGTAAGAGCTAAATCTAAAACACTGTTAGAAGAGAATAGAGAGATAAATCTCCAAGACCTTGGATTTGCCATTGGATTCTTAGATAAGAAACCAAAAGCATAAGCCAGAAAGGAAAAAAAACTAGATAAACTGAACTTCACCAAAATTGAAAAATGTGTGCATAAAAGGACACTATCCAGAAAGAGAAAAGGCAATCTACAGAATGGGAAAAAATATTTGCAAATCATATATTCAATAAGGGTCTACTATGAAGAATATATAGAGAATTCTTACAACTCAAAAATCAAAAGGCAAACAACCTGATTTGGTTGAACACAAAAAACGGGCAAAGAACATGAATGGACATTCAAGAGGGGCCTCTGAAGATATGCAAATGACCAACCAAAACATGAAAAGGTGC